ATGAAAGTTTGGAGGCCCTATTTTTACTTTTACTTTGCCCTGCTGGACCATCAGCTTCTGTCTGCATGAATTGACCAATTTTTTTGTTAGTGTTGTTGCTGATGTTTCCCTCTCAGAAAAGAGCTTTGCTTCTTCCCAAGAACATGTGAAAATGGTTGGTCAGGCTTCACATAGTGATAGTTATGTCTTTATTGCTTTGATTTGCTGTGTATATATTTGTGTTTCACCTAGCAGGACATCTAAATTTGTCCATTAGAGGCCAAATTGTGTCTAAGATTTTCTATCAAGTCAATATACCCTTTCATTTGGGTTCAGTTATATTTCAATGAGAATAAAACTGTAAATGAATATTTCAGATTTTAATAGTTCAAGTTTTTCCATGACAATATACTTTTTGGGAGAGATGAGAATAGAAAATGGTGTTAAGAAGCCATAACCCCTACATTTAGCTATTTATTTGTGAAAATGTTGAAATATTAGCAATAAGTTATGGTAGAGATTTTATTATAAAATGTTACATTTTTTTTTCCTTCTTGGTTTATGTTGTTAATTTAATCTTATGCTGAGAGGTTTCAGAAACTAGGCTCAATGTGGTCATTTTGAAGTATCAGATAAGTACATATCTTACTTAGTTAAGTAATACCCCTTCCTTCATTCACTAGAGATACTTACTTGATAATATTAATATCTAAATATTGAGCACTTACTAAAGTACTTCTCCTGTGCTAACTACTTTGCACATATTATCTCAGCTGCGTGAGAAGTCAATAATTTAGGGAAACAGAATAATCTATACAATTTGGATAAGTTAGAATGTAATTAACTTCTAGAGCTTATAGACCCCTAAAGGCTCTCGGTTAATCAGAATTGCAAAGGCTAGTGATGATGCTAAATAGAATTGGATTGTATCTGAACATGTCACGGGTGAAATATTAAGATTGTTTAACCACTTGCTAAGTAGATCAAACCTGTATTTACTCTAGCTCTGCTTAAGAAAGGGAGCCTGGTGGCATAGTGGGTTATGTGTTGGGCTGCTAAGTGCAAGATCAAGCAGTTTGAGTCCACCAGCCATTCCACCAGAAAAAGATGAGGTTTTCTGCTCTGTAAAGATTTACAGCCTCAAAAACCCTACACAAAATTGCTATGAGTCGGAACCGACTAGACAGCACACACTACACCACTACCTGTTTTTTAAAAAAAGTCTTTACATTTTCATTTTTGTAAGAGTCAGATAAATTTAATTTATTTTAGCAGCAATAAAACGGAGAGGAACACCTATTTTTCCTTGTCAGTTTTTATGTCTTTTTGCGTGTGCCTGTAAAAAGGAAAGTAGCAATACACTAAAATGCACCACTGCTTTTTATATTCAAATACTGTGTCCTCTCAGGCAAACTGATGTGAACATATATTATCTTTTTGAAAAACCCCAAAGAGCATCAAACAACAGACTCTCTAGACAATAATAAAAGAACACACACTGTCAAAACTTGGAACATTGAGGCCTATAAAAATTCAGTTTCTGTTGGGAACCACTGATCTTAAAGTATTTGGGGATTCAGGAATGTTAGATGGCGGAAACAAGAGAGAAAAAAATTGTGTGGGGACAAATATTTTCTTGTCAAAAACAAAATAATGAAAATAGCAGTCGAAGGAAGGAAGTAAATACAGTATTTGTTTGCTTTTAATTCAGTCAGCGTTTCACCATCATGGATGTTTGTTAGCTGCAGATGTTTTGTAAATCCCTTTTAAAAGCAAATACCTAGTTTGCTGAGGAGTTTTGTCATTAAAGGACATTAAGTTCTGTCAAATGTTTTCTCTGCATGTATTGAAATTACCATATATTTTATTGTGTTATATGCTTTATTCTGCTAATGTGATGAATTCAACTGGCTTTCAAACATCAAAAACTGTTGTGGGATAAATCCCCCCACCTCATCATAATCTAGTATCCTTTTTATATATTTCTGGATTCCATTTTGTAATATTTTTGAAGTTGTTGTTGTTGTTGTATTTATTTTCACAAGGGTTATTAATCTATGTTTTCTTAAAATGTCTCTCTGGTTTTTACATTACAGTATGTTGTTGTTGTTGTTGTTGAGTGCCATCGAGTCGGGTCCGACCCATAGCGACCCTGTACAGGGTTTCCGAGGGTGTAAATCTTTACGGGAGTAGAAAGCCTCATCTTTCTCCCGC